CTGTCAACCCAAGTTCCTCTTGAGCTGTGACCCACAAGTCTTTCATATGAATTCTGCCCCACACAGTGACCCTATAACTTTTCTGTGTTTACCAGATGCTTGATTCTTCCAGTTAACATTTTTACCCCTGACCTCCACCTCTGCTGCCAAAGCAGTTCTGACATTTTCAGCAGCTGTTTCCTTACCTTTAGGAGATGTATTTATTCACCATAAATAAGTGAGCTGTCAAGAGTGGCTGGGGCTGCATGTCATTCACTTTCCATATCTAACTAATGTTATTTCCATTGTCTGATATAGTTCTTCCAGTTTTCATAATCATTCTTCAATGTGATTTTTATCTATAGGCCTAGTTAAGTCATATAAATAATACATGTAATATTTATATTATTTTTATTTATATATTATATGGTGATGGTAGTTTAGTGACTAAGTCATTCTCTTATTATTGTACAAATGGTTCATGATTATTGCAATAAAAATACTTAGGGAGAGGAAAAGGAAGTAGAAATTGCCTAAAATCTCAATACCTACAAAAAAGTATTTTTAGTATTTTGACTGCCAGTCTTTTGCAAATTGCATCAATACACATATACAGGTACCACATTCATGTTGATACAATTAGGATAATGTTATACACATCATTTTTATCAATGACTTTTTTTTTTCTTGTTGATGGCCTTTTGCTGTTGTTGATGATGAGAAAGTTAATTTAAATCTCTTGTTGGTTAGGTAGATTCCAGTCACTATTCTGCCATATATAATACTGCAATAAATATTTCTGTACAATCTATCCTCTGAGCGCCTTTTTGTCAATGGGATTGAAGCTTATTTGGAATTAGAGTCTACTGCTAGTTTTAGTTTCACCTCTCATTCGTTTTGGTAGTTTTCTAGGAATATGCAGATCAGATCCCACATTCTTTTTTCATGATAAATGCATTTTATCAAGAGAGTTTGGGCACTACCATTTTGCTGGTTTGTGTACATTTTCCTTCTATATATTTAATTCAATTTAATGCCTGGTAAATGGATGTAAAAGACAACTTTCCGTTGGTGATGTCACTTCACATTGAAATTTATATATTAGAGTTTTGTAGAAATATTTTTGTAAGTACTATGAAACTTATTCCATATGACACAGTCTTGTACAGAAAATTTTTTCTTCAAAGGCTTATTTAAATTTAAGTACTCTGATATTTCAAGACCTATTAAAACAACATGTCAGATCAAAAAAAATGTCATTAGTTAGATAACTAGCTTTTAGTAAATCTGTATTCATTCCAATTTCCTATTGAAAATGTTCTCAAACTTATGATTAGCAATTTATTTCATCATCTTATAATTTATTTTATGCTTTCCAATTTATTTTATGAGTTTGTTATCTCCTTATTTTGTAGTTTACAGAACATTATTTCTATGTACCAAAAAGAAAAAAAAACTATATATGACATTCCTCTTCACTCCTGCATACTTTGTTTTGGCCTCATTTTTCAAGTGTTACTGAGAACATAATAAGGTGTGTTCTGGGAAGGAGAGTGGCGCTGTGTTCATCATCCACATTTTGCCTTTCCTGGCTCCATCTACTTGTCTGTATTGAATGCCTAGACTACTGTACTTGGGAAGACATTAGGACCATAATGGTGAGTAAAAGAGATACATTCCATCTTATGGGACTTGCAGTTCAGTGAGGATATAAGTATTAAAGAGGTACATTTACAAACAAATTTAAGGTTACACCTGAGATGAGTGGAGGCAGAGGTTTGGTGAGTGACCTGGCCTAAGAGATTCCTTGGCTGCATTGATCAAGGGGAAGTTTCCAGAAAGATTACCCTGAGAGAAGGTTGAGCTGAGAGATCTCTGATGAGGGAAGAACATGTGAAAAGGGCTGCAATAAGAAACAGTGCGTCACAGTTGACTAAGTCTAAGAGTTTTTTGTAAGTACTATGAAACTTATTCCATATGACACAGTCTTGTACAGAAAATTTTTTCTTCAAAGGCTTATTTAAATTTAAGTACTCTGATATTTCAAGACCTATTAAAACAACATGTCAGATCAAAAAAAATGTCATTAGTTAGATAACTAGCTTTTAGTAAATCTGTATTCATTCCAATTTCCTATTGAAAATGTTCTCAAACTTATGATTAGCAATTTATTTCATCATCTTATAATTTATTTTATGCTTTCCAATTTATTTTACGAGTTTGCTATCTCCTTATTTTGTAGTTTACAGAACATTATTTCTATGTACCAAAAAGAAAAAAAAACTATATATGACATTCCTCTTCACTCCTGCATACTTTGTTTTGGCCTCATTTTTCAAGTGTTACTGAGAACATAATAAGGTGTGTTCTGGGAAGGAGAGTGGCGCTGTGTTCATCATCCACATTTTGCCTTTCCTGGCTCCATCTACTTGTCTGTATTGAATGCCTAGACTACTGTACTTGGGAAGACATTAGGACCATAATGGTGAGTAAAAGAGATACATTCCATCTTATGGGACTTGCAGTTCAGAGAGGATATAAGTATTAAAGAGGTACATGTACAAATAAATTTAAGGTTACACCTGAGATGAGTGGAGGCAGAGGTATGGTGAGTGACCTGGCCTAAGAGATTCCTTGGCTGCATTGATCAAGGGGAAGTTTCCAGAAAGATTACCCTGAGAGAAGGTTGAGCTGAGAGATCTCTGATGAGGGAAGAACATGTGAAAAGGGCTGCAATAAGAAACAGTGCGTCACAGTTGACTAAGTCTAAGAGTGCCAGGTTAGGAGTTTTGGTCTTTATTTTAACAAAAGTAAAGTGTCAGTGTCCAGTGGAGTGATGTGATATGACATGCATTTAGAAGGAATCTGTGTAGTTGAAATTTGGAGAACAAATATAGAAAGCAAAAGGAAGTGTAGGGTCCCAGTTATAGGCTTTTACAAGAGTACAATTGCAAGAAAATGATCATTTATATTAAGGTGGTTCTGGCCGTAGATATGAAGAGAAGTAGATATATTTTACAGATATTAGGTGGAAAGAATTGGAAGGGTTTGGTGACTCACTTATTCAGTATTTATAGATAGAGGGATGGAAAGCACCTAAGATGATGCCCAAGTCTTTGGCTAACCAAACACAATGAAATTTTGTGCCACTTTCTGAGATGTGAAAGGCCGAGAAGACCTATTTTGGTGGGAAATGGTGCAGGTTTGATTTGGAGCAAAAGAAATCATTCATCCAGATAATGTTATATTCTGGAATCACAAAGAATAACATACTAGGTGGTTGTTGTTATTCAGTTGCTAAGTCATGTCTAACTCTTTGTAACCTTGTGGACTACAGCACACCAGCCTTTCCTGTGCTTAATTTTTTTCCAGAGTTTGCTCAAGTTCATGTCCAATGAGTCGATGATGCCATCCAACGATCTCATCTTCTGTCATCCCTTTCTCCTCCTGCCCTCAGTGTTTTCCAGCATTAGGGTCTTTTCCAATGAGTCAGTTCTTCACATCAGGTGGCCAAAGTATTGAAGCTTCAGTATCAGCCCTTCCAATGAATATTCAGGGTTGATTTCCTTTAGGATTGACTGGTTTGATCTTGCAGTCTAAGGGACTCTCAAGAGTCTCTCCCAGCACCACAGTTTGAAAGCATCAATTCTTCAGCACTCTGCCTTTTTTATGGTCTAATTTTCACATCCATATATGACTGCTGGAAAAACCACAGGTTTGCCTATATGGACCTTTGTCAGAAAAGTGATGTCTCTGCTTTTTAATTCGCTATCTAGTTTTCATAGCTTTACTTCCAAGCAGCAAGTAAATATACTAGGTATTTTCTTTGAATAGTCTTCTAAATTTTGCAGTTCTTTTTTAAACAAGGAATTTTTAAAGAGTTTATTGCTCTTTGTGTTTGTTTAACATATTACCCAAAATAAAATGATTCAAAGATTTAAAAATACACACTTTTTTTGGGGGATTCCTCAAATACTTTATCACTATAGTGAGTGGGCTTAGTTCTGTTTGTAGTTTTTTTGTTTGCATTTTTTGGGCAATGTACTATAGCTATTTTCATCTTTTCCTGAGTAGAGTATGTTGCTGGGAATGACTAGTATTTGAATCAGCTGTGCACCAAATTATGTAGATAGGGACAAAGTATAAACAGTGAAAAATTGTAACTTGTCGGACATTAAAATATATGATGTTCTTTGCAGAATATAAACACTTTTTAGAATCAAAAATAATAGTACTTTTAAGACACATTTAAAGATAATTACTCCTTGTTCTGCATAATGTTTTATGCTAAGCTCAGTCATAGGTTTTGGGTTTTTTTGGTGGTATATTAAATATTTTATTAAATATTAATACAAATCTAAATATTAATGTGTTCTACAATCTGAAAGTGTTAGTCGATCCAGTAATGTTCAACTCTTTGTGACCCATGGACTGTAGCCCACCAGTCTCCTCTGTCCCTGGGATTTCCCAGGAATGAATACTGGAGTGGGTTGCCATTCCCTTTTCCAGGGATCAAACCCAGGTCTCCTGCTTTGCAAGTGAATTATTTACTGTCTGAGCCACCCCTTCAACCTGAGTTACTGACTTTATTCTGATTATTTCTACTGTTGAATTTGTACTGCCAAAATATTGTTTAAAAACAATAAAATCCTAGTGGTAATTGAAGGCACTTAAGTGACCTTTCAATGGAGTATTGATTAGCAAACGGTTTGAAGTTTTTCTCCACTGGCAGTTTCACTCTTTAAATAAGAGCCCATGGTCTTTTCTTTGGATTAGTATGAGACCGAAAACAAAATCAAAAAGAGTTTTTTCCCCTGAAATAGAAATGAATATTACCAAAAAGAAAATTAAATCAATATAAAGGTTTTTTTCCTAATTTTAATTTTGATGTTAACATATTGTCTCTATTTTATTGTCTTTTTATGTTAACAACATTTAAATATTTTCAACTTATATCAAAATCTGAAAACGAATGTTTTTTTCACTTGAAAAAATCTAATGTCTTATCTTTCTTTTCATAGGTCTCATATCTTTTGGGTGAACAGAAGTCTGCCTTTATGGGGTTTACAGGTTATGTACAACTTTGTTTTATTCCTATATGTGTAGTTGTATTCATATTTTACAGGACAATATTACTGGGGAGAAAATTATTGATATTAAAAAATTGAGATTAAAAACAATCAAAAATTGTTTATTATTTAATTAACCTTAATGCACATCTTGAAGTTTTTATTTCTTTATGTTAACCTGAGCCTTGCATTCTACTTGTTAAGAATTTCCTCATGATCAGGATTAGACTTCAGAAAGCTTAAGTAAAACAGTGTTTGAAGTCACAACAAGTTCTCCAAACTAATTTATGTGTTCCTAAATTCTTAGGTTACATCCATGTTTGAAAAATTAGTCAAAAGCTCTTAACCATGTTTGCCTTTTGTTCTCAATATCAGGGGCATGGCAGCATCTTGATGAATAATTGTTAAATGAATAAACAAATGAACCAATAGCTCTTATTACCAATGGGAAGAACTTGGTCCCTTAATAGATAATTTTGCAAATAAAACAAAAAGTATGCCCTAACACTAAAAGGTCCTGAAGAAGTAGTAAGGAAATGTGAAGAGAACAGTGCTTCTGAATCACATATTCGGTGTGTTTCCTGGAGTCCTTGTTCTTTGTTCCTTTTCCTGTTGAATTTCATGCCTAGCAAAATTTTTACAACTTCACATTTCCTCTATTCCTGTCTCTTTCCTTCAGATGCTTTTTAGTTTCTGTTAATTTTCAAAAGCAGAAATTATGCAAAGAGTAGAGTCCCTAAGATTAAAAGCCTTAGAGATTGGAAGACAGCTGAGTCTGGAAGGAAGGGAAAGTCTCTAAGACTCACTGTTTATAAGCAAACATTAAAATACTTTAAAATCAAATGTTTGGTTTGTCATTTAACATCAGGGTGATTCTGAGATCTGTACATTTTATAAGCAACTATGAATTATTTTTATTATGTATTCATTGTGTTTATTAGTATGAAATCATGTTTTTGCTGTGTTTGCATATTTCCTATTTTATAAGTTGTGTTTATGTTGTTTTTTTTTTTAGTGAATCTCATAGCAGTGCCATTAACTTACAAATAACTCTTTTCAAATATTTCAGTTTCACTAAAAATGCAGTTTTTTAATCTCTAAGTTAGATTCCTATATTATCCATTAGTGAGGTGCACACTTGTAAAGTAAGTTAGTATTTTTCTGAATAATTATATATGGCCTTGAAATATATTTTGATCATTCAAATTGTTTTTACTTAATAGTGATATCTTTAAATAAGAACGCTCATTTTTCAATAAGATTTTGAGTAATTCATCCTGAAAATGGTTTCAAGGTCACCTAACAAGGTGTACCTTTAGAATGGCACACATGAGTTAGAAAATTTGTGGGGAAAATCTAAAAAGTTCAACTTTTCTATTTTAATAATGTCTGGCTACTGTATGCACTTCCAGACTTATTTTACTTATATTGTCATGCATTCATATGCTTTTAAATTATCCTTATGTTTTAATATTCACCTACATCAAAATTTTCATTAAAACAGGAATCAGAATCTAAAACTCTAGGGTGTCTGCTTTTCTCAGACAGGTTGACTTAACCCTCACAAATCTATGAACAAATATATTTGTTATCTTAAATACTTCATGTTGATGCTTGCTTAGTATTCCTCTCTCCCAAAGTGCTTAGAGTCTTTAACACAAAATAATTTGGATGTCCTTTCTGTTGGAGCCACTGTTCTTTGGGAGTTGAGCTAAGGAAATTGTATGTGGAGTAGAGACGAGAGAAAGGCGAGAATTCGTCTAGGGCAGTGCAGGATGCCAGTATCCGCTGCAGAAGGGGGATTGCTTGTGAAGTCTGTTCAGACGGAATCTGAAAGTATCTTGGACCGTTTGCTTTAATGTTCAAGGATGTTACTGTTAACCTTTGTTTGAGGTGGATGATAGGATGCAAAGTATCCCTCAACTCCAAGCTTGTATTCTTTGATTTTCTGTAGGGAACTGCCATTTTTGACCGGTGAACTGAGAGGGAGGCTGTGTGGCTGGTCATGTGATTGCGTGTGTCAGGAATACATGCACACACAAAATCTAGTCTTTACATATCATTCAAATTCCAGTCACCTGACTATTCTAATCCCACACTTACATTTGTGGTAATAAATTTTAAAAGACTTACTGAGGAGAATTAGACATTATAAAAACGAAACCGTAGTGCCCGGGACAGCCTGCTCCGTACCACCTGTATATAGAAGTTAAGAGAGTCAAACAGCACCGCTGTTGCTGAAACTCGGTCTCTGTTCACTGGAGTCAAATAGAAACACGGAGACAGAATTTTGGGTGAAGTAGAAAAGAGCAACTTCAATTGCTTTGCCAGGCAAAGGGGGCCACAGTGGGCTAATGCCTTGAAGACTGTGTGACCCATCTTGGAGTGAGGAGTTTTATAGTGTTCAAGAAGCAGGGTGTGATCAGCTTGTGGACAATTCTTGGATTGGTTGCCATCAAGGTGAAATTTCGAGCATGATCAACCTTCTGCTTTCAGCCAGTCTAGGGTCTATTTTCTTGTGGTCAGCAGTTTTCATCTGGACAGGGAGTATGCTTCCTGTAGAAACAATTTAAGGATATGTGTCCCGCTTTTATCTGTATCTTTCAAGGAACTGGGATTTCAGTGATACTGTTATGTGCCAGAATTATAGTCTAAATTGTTACCAGTTCTTTAGCCCAACAGCTTTTCTTTGTTTCTGTATCTTCACATTTCCCAATCATTAACTCTTGAGTCAGCATTTTACTTCAAAAGACAAGGACACAGGGCCTTGTATATGGTTTCAATTCCTATATCATATATGATATATATACACACTCATATATGCACATACATACATAGGCATATATTTATAAATTGATAATATATTCAGAATATATATATTTTGTTTCATTTTCTCATTAAGGTATAATTTACATTTTAGGTTTTAGTGGCATTGATAAGTCTCTTTGAAACAATACTGCTTGGTTATCTCAGTTATAAGGTAAGTTGTTTTAATTAGAAATTTTCTGCCAGTGGAACACACTACTAGCATTTACCCAGTATTCATCTATTTATAATTCACACTCTGGGGCTAAAGCAAGATCTTCTTAAACCCCTTTAATTATTTTGGGCCTCTCCAGTATGTAAAAAAAAGCTGTGGTAATATAGTAATGTTTTCCTTGGTGGCTTAAACACACTTCACTAATTCCTCTGGTCTAATTTACCCAGTATATGCATGCTTATATTAGGCAAGTGAATGGAATGGTTTGGCTTTTTATTGTTCCCAGCCTCTTCTCCTGATCTGTACAGAAAATACTGAGTCTGTTAGGACTTAGGAAAATGAATTCCCTTTATTGTTGGCAAAGCTTTGCTTGGCTAACCCAATTTAACAAATGTTTATTGAGCTCTTCTTTGATGGAGAGGACCACACTGTGCATTGTTGTTTTTCTTTTTTCTCAATGAGTTTACAATCCAGAAATGGGGGTAGGCAGGAGAAGATTACACAGGCAATAATAATACAAGGTGGAATAATAAGTACTTCCCATGAGATGCAAATAAATCTCCATGGGGGTTCATCAGTTCGGTTCTGTCACTCAGTCGTGTCTGACTCTCTAGAACACATGGATTGCAGCAAACCAGGCTTCCCTGTCCATCACCAGCTCCCAGAGCTTACTCAAACTCATGTCCATCGAGTAAGCGATGAAAACCAGCCATCTCATCCTCGGACATCCCCTTCCCCTCCTGCCTTCAATCTTTCTCAGCATCAGGGTCTTTTCCAATGAGTCACTCTTCACATCAGGTGGCCAAAGTATTGGAGTTTCAGCTTCACCATCAGTCCTTCCAATGAATATTCAGGACTGATTTCCTTTAGGATGGACTGATTTCATCTCCTTGCAGTCCAAGGGATTCTCAAGAGTTTTGTCCAACACCACCATTCAAAAGCATTAACTTTTCGGCACTCAGCTTTCTTTATGGTCCATTCTCACATCCATACATGACCACTGGAAAAACCATAGCTTTGACTAGATGGACCTTTGTTGATAACGTAATGTCTCTGCTTTTTAATATGCTACCTAAGTTGGAAATAACTTTTCTTCAAGGAGCAAGGGTCTTTTAATTTCATTGTGGCAGTCACCATCTGTGGTGATTTTGGAGCCACCCCCCCCAAATAAAGTCTGTCACTGTTTCCATTGTTTCTCCATCTATTTGCCATGAAGTGATGGGACCAGATGCCATGATCTTAATTTTTTTAATGTTGAATTTTAAGCCAGNCCTAACAGAAGCAGAAGATATTAAGAAGAGGTGGCAAGAATACACAGAAGAACTGTACAGAAAAGATCTTCACAACCCAGATAATCATAAAGGTGTGATCACTCACCTAAAGCCAGACATCCTGGAATGTGAAGTCAAGTGGGCCTTAGAAAGCATCACTATGAACAAAGCTAGTGGAGGTGATCGAATTCCAGTTGAGCTATTTCAAATCCTCAAAGATGAGGCTGTGAAAGTGCTGCACTCAATATGCCAGCAAATTTGGAAAAGAGTAGTGGCCACAGGAATGGAAGAGGTCAGTTTTCATTCCAATCCCAAAGAAAGGCAATGCCAAAAAATGTTCGAACTACTCCTGAACTGCACTCATCTCACACACTAGCAAAGTGATGCTCAAAATCCTCCAAGCCATGCTTCAACAGTACACAAACCATGAACTTCCATATATTCAAGCTAGATTTAGAAAAGGTGGAGGAACCAGAGAGAGAGGTCATATCTTGGGATGAAAAGAGGTATTAAGCAGAGTCCTTGAACCAGTGATTTCATTAAAGTAAGATCATAATTTCACTAAAAAGAAAAACAAAAGGCAGAACAACAGGGATTTGTAGAATTACCAAAGGCATAAAATAAGAAATGTGCATATAATATTGGAAGAATGAATAAATATTTAGGTTTGGGCAGCATATGTTGTGTTTGGGAAAATATTGTTGGGATAAGTTTGCTAGAGTATTGTGAGGGCCTTGTAGAGAAACCTAGAATGGGAAGTTGGTGCAGGACGTTGAACATGAGAGTTCTATAATTGTAACTAAGTTTTAGGAGTATTAGTTTGGAACATCTGCACAACCAGAAGTCAAAGAGATATTCCACTGAAGTCCATATGTTCTGCTAAGACACAATTGCAGTAGGAAAGGAAAAGTGGGAATGAAGTTTTGGCCAGGTGAGAGGAATAAACTTTCAATGCAGGGAAAGTCATGAAAGTAGAAACTGAAGAAATCATCAACTGATTGGTTGAGATAGAACAAGAGAACAAAATATGAAGTATCGGTTTAAGATTTCCTAAATCCAAATGACAGTACAAGGCGGTAAGACCAAGAAAAATTACATCAAGGAAAAAAAATCAGATTGGGTTCAAGATAGATGGAATAATGGAAATTGTTTGGGGAATGATGAATTTGAGGTATTTTTGGACAAATAGGTGTGATATGCAGACAACTGAAAAGGAAGATCTGGGACTTGCAGAAGAGATTTATTAGGCATTGGCAGTCATTTCCAGTGAAATGATGAAGGAAGTATGCAAATCCATTAAGGATGGGATAGTAACTAATGGAGAAGAGATAACCCATGTTAATGGAGATGCTTATGTTGTGGGTCTTGAAAGAATAGAGCAATGAGGGCGGACAGAGGAATAAGTGAGAAGGGTGGAAAGTCTTCCAAATGGTTGTCATAATGATTGCTGATTTCCAGTTCACAGCTATTGCATGTACTGTATCAACAAGCACACTCAAGGTTCTGTTTTGGGGGGATTCTTATCTAGCATATAAATCTTTTTCTCACTTCATAACATAAAGTCTTAAAGGCAACATTCTGTTGACTACTTTTTAATCTTTAATTTAGAGCAAGAAATCTTTTCAAATTCACCTTTTTCCCTGTCTTCCTTTATAAAATTCTTATATGTTCCACCTAAAGAACATAATAGCAATGTCTAATCAGGTGAAATGGACAAATTAGAAAAAGTAGAAAGAAAAGAGTGAGTGGTTTCCAAATAAACACAGATGCATTGATTTACTGATTGTGAGGAAAATAAAATACTAGGAATGACTAAGAAAAAAATGTTAGATGAAAGACATGAATGATGGCAGGTTTAGTAAGAAGCTTGAGAAAAGCCATTGGGTTTACAGTTTAGGAGATCATTTGTTATTCATCCTTAAGAGACTAGTTTCAATGGAGTACAATTGAGAGTAAAATTTTCAAATGAAGACTGTTGATTGGTCAGTACAGGAGCTCACTAAAAGTAGTAGAATGAGGTGGAAGATTGCCTTGTGATGTTAAGAATCTGCATCATGTAAAATGAGTTGGTAGAAGGGCAGGAAAAATGATGGATGAAGCAAGATTTATAAAAAGTAGGAATAAGCTAGGTTAGGAAGTTGAGGATTACTAATTAACTTTGAATACATTCTGTTCTTTTCTGAGAACACTGAAGATGGAAAATGGTGCCTGAAAGAATATTTTGAAGTTGGAGGAGATAAGCTGGAAAATTTTGCATATAGATAGCCACTCAACCCTAACTTACCTAGAAAGTACTAGCTTAGTGACAGAGTTTAGAAGGAGATGTTGAAGAGGGCTCTTTAAATGATTAGTGAATCTCCTCATCAAAATAGATGCTTCATAAATATGTTGTTGTCAAGTTGCTAAATTGTGTTAGACTCTTTTGCAATCCCATGGGCTATATCCGTTAGGCTCCTCTGTCCATGGGATTTCCCAGGCAGAAATACTGGAGCTAGTTGCCATTTCCTTCTCCAGGGGATCTTCCTGATCCAGGGATCATACCCATGTCTCCTGCATTGGCAGGTGGATTTTTTTACTGCTGAACCACCAGGGAAGCCCATAAATATGTACTGATTGACAAATTTGGATTTTGGAAGCCTAGGAGAATGGAAACAATCAAGTAAATTAATATCCAAGGTGTTATCTTCTAAGGTCCTTAGTATGCATGTGATAAATGTTGAATGTGATATATAGAAAGTGAGGTACTGAAAAATAAGGATGTGGGTGTTTTTCTCTAATTTAATGAAATATTTTCCACAAGCGTATCTACAAATACATAAACTGGTCAAAATATTAATCTGCATTTGTGAATGTATTTGCTGCAAATTCTAATTAAAACTTAATATGAAATTAACTTTGAGGGTTTAAATGCTAGTAGTCATTTAAAAAGCACAGACTCAAGATGAAATTATAGTTTCCTCTTGTGATTTTATGGTGCTGACCTTTATGATCAGTTAACTCCTGGCATTTATAACATGAGAGCAAAGATTATAAGACCTAGTAGGTAGGGCTAGATGATGTATAATATTTTCATTCTTACCTTCATAGACATTAACATCTAGGTCATGCTGGTTGGGTCTTGTGTATTACAACACGAAGGCTGACAAGGGCTTATGTGACATGGGGAGGATGGGTTGCTGTTAATTACCTTCTTTTTGTTCATTGTTGTCTTCTAGTCATTAAACCATGTCCAACTCTTTTGAGACCCCATGGACTGTAGCCCACCAGGCTCCTCTGTCCATGGAATTCTCCAGACAAGAGTACTGGAGTGGGTGGCTATTTCCTCCTCCAGGGGAATCTTCACAGTCCAGGGATCAAACCCAAGTCTCCTGCATTGTGGGCATATTCTTTACCCATCTGAGCCACCAGGGAAGCCCTTTTCCTTTCATATGTTCAGTCAAATTTGTGAACTCTTCTGACTCAATAGCTGTTGGATACACTGTTGGAACGAATAAGTGATAACTATTTACAGCACATATATAAGGTAAATCCATATAGCAGAACTTCAAATGAGGTCCTTCCCTCAAATTAGGCTTTTAAGAAAAATTATAGACAGATATGAAGAAATGGATATTGCATTAGGAGTGAAATCCGTTTCTAATATTTGCTGTTTGATATTTCTAGTTCTGAATATAAAATCTACATAGAATTTTCTCTTATTTGTTTATATCTATATGTATACACAGATAA